ATAGAAGTAGACTGATGGGACTGGATTATATCTTGAACATTTATTGCTACTCGGAGAGTCATGCCTCTTGCGAGGCGAATCATCAGGTTAAATAAAACAATAAATGTCAGGCGTGGCGTAGGTGCGTGGCGCGTCGTACTTAAGTGATGCTTACAACATGTCAAATTTGCGACAAGAACTAACCAAGTTAGGACGGTGTTTAGTAGAAATTTGTTTGAGTGTTTGCAAGCTGAGATTAGTTCATTTCTATTGTCCAGGGTAGACATTACAGGTTTACAAATTATAAACAGCACGACGAGCCACGCGCCACGCCTAGTATTTACTGTTCAGTTTTACCTTTGTCTTTGATTGTAACCGTTAATTTTGGCAGTTGCCTGATGATTGCCTCGCAAGAGGCGTGAAATTCTGGGTAGCAACAACTGTTCAAGATTTAATCCAGTTTCATCAGTCTACTTCTATTCTGCTCTAGGTTAACTATTGGGCACTATCGATGAGGACACCACTCTGGCACTTCGTTGTATGTATAATATATATTATCCTTCCAGCCCTGTAAAATTCTTTTTAACCTCGGTGTCCTTGTCCTCCCCCCACCCCCTATTAATAAGGCAATGGTTCAACCTTTATTTGTTTATGCAAAGAAAGGGATCGATACTGGAGGTATATTGCGTGACAAAAATGCAAATTAGCATATGACTGATGGCGTGTGGGACAAACGTTCAATATTACCCGCACTCGGAAAAATATTACAACAGACATACCCTTCACCAAACTTAAAGTGATTCTTAATAATTTCTCAAGAGCTACACGAGAAAAGTCACCCGAGGTGAGAGAATCCGACATGTTCATGATAAATGAGGGATAAACACGGATGTGGGAATTCAACAATGATTCAAATCATGTCAAATGCTCGAAACGGAAAACGAAACTCAAATGGAATATGAGATAAATTTCTATTTTAAAAAGGGTATCCGGTTGCTGAGTTTCCAAGCTGAAGATTGCAATTGATTACATATGAGAAGAAGTTAACAACCGTACGTAGTTTGAGATTTTAACATAGCTGAAATGGACAACCTGGCTGTAAACAAGCACGATTTGCATATCCGACGGGTTGATCAAGAATGTCAGTTAATGGCATTTTTTTCGGCTTTCATTTATACAAACTTAAAAAGGCTAATGAAAAGAAAACACATGTTCGTTATTTTGAGGATACACAACAACATTCTCAGCTGCTGAGAAAATATCTACTAAATTAAAGTNTTAAGCTATTTTTCGTAGAGAAAGGAAACGTAAAATTTCCGGAACCGAAAATGCGATATTGAAAGGAATCAGAAAAATCCTAACTTTCGTAAAACTTTAAATTGCAGCTAAAATTTTCCGGAAAAAAGACTCACGGTTACCCTAGTATGACCCAACAGATAAAAAAATTTTTAGCGCCACTTGGAATACATTTCTAGAGATCTAAAAGTACTCTGGATAGCCTAAAAAGTGTTCTCAATGCATTTAGGAGGAAACCGTCGTTGGGTGCCCTGGCATATAATAGGAGCTAGGGATTTTTTTGGTAATGAATCAATTTAATTACAAGCAATGTGGCACTTTACGTGTTCTTGGGCGTGGACCGTTCGATTATTGATGGAGGTGGGCGCTGCATTAATTTTAGCTTCTTGATAAAGCTGTATATATGTATGTATATAATAGAAGTAGACTGATGGGACTGGATTATATCTTGAACATTTATTGCTACTCGGAGAGTCATGCCTCTTGCGAGGCGAATCATCAGGTTAAATAAAACAATAAATGTCAGGCGTGGCGTAGGTGCGTGGCGCGTCGTACTTAAGTGATGCTTACAACATGTCAAATTTGCGACAAGAACTAACCAAGTTAGGACGGTGTTTAGTAGAAATTTGTTTGAGTGTTTGCAAGCTGAGATTAGTTCATTTCTATTGTCCAGGGTAGACATTACAGGTTTACAAATTATAAACAGCACGACGAGCCACGCGCCACGCCTAGTATTTACTGTTCAGTTTTACCTTTGTCTTTGATTGTAACCGTTAATTTTGGCAGTTGCCTGATGATTGCCTCGCAAGAGGCGTGAAATTCTGGGTAGCAACAACTGTTCAAGATTTAATCCAGTTTCATCAGTCTACTTCTATTCTGCTCTAGGTTAACTATTGGGCACTATCGATGAGGACACCACTCTGGCACTTCGTTGTATGTATAATATATATTATCCTTCCAGCCCTGTAAAATTCTTTTTTAACCTCGGTGTCCTTGTCCTCCCCCCACCCCCTATTAATAAGGCAATGGTTCAACCTTTATTTGTTTATGCAAAGAAAGGGATCGATACTGGAGGTATATTGCGTGACAAAAATGCAAATTAGCATATGACTGATGGCGTGTGGGACAAACGTTCAATATTACCCGCACTCGGAAAAATATTACAACAGACATACCCTTCACCAAACTTAAAGTGATTCTTAATAATTTCTCAAGAGCTACACGAGAAAAGTCACCCGAGGTGAGAGAATCCGACATGTTCATGATAAATGAGGGATAAACACGGATGTGGGAATTCAACAATGATTCAAATCATGTCAAATGCTCGAAACGGAAAACGAAACTCAAATGGAATATGAGATAAATTTCTATTTTAAAAAGGGTATCCGGTTGCTGAGTTTCCAAGCTGAAGATTGCAATTGATTACATATGAGAAGAAGTTAACAACCGTACGTAGTTTGAGATTTTAACATAGCTGAAATGGACAACCTGGCTGTAAACAAGCACGATTTGCATATCCGACGGGTTGATCAAGAATGTCAGTTAATGGCATTTTTTTCGGCTTTCATTTATACAAACTTAAAAAGGCTAATGAAAAGAAAACACATGTTCGTTATTTTGAGGATACACAACAACATTCTCAGCTGCTGAGAAAATATCTACTAAATTAAAGTTGTGGTCAGGTGTGAGCCGTTAAGCGGGCAAATCTATGCAAATAATGTCGAAAAGAGGCTCTTAAAAACGTTAGATCACGTCCAACCTAGAACGATACCCGCACCTTTGACTTTATCTTCTGACAGAATAAGGTAAGATCTTTGCTGTGAAGTGCATTTTACCTGTGATTTTTGTACCGCTTTGGAGATTTTAGCTTTTACTTTGGAAGAATTTGTCAAGGGGAAAAAAAATGCAAAAGGACTTGTGTTTGATTTTATTAATTCAATTTAATTTTGCGTCAAATTATTCCATATTCCGTCATAGGACAAGTCAACTGCAGCTAAATCCATTGTACTATGTAGAATTTAGCGATATTTATCCGTTACGAAGAAGCGCGGCTTTTAAAATCACCGAATTTCGGCCATCGAATAAGGTTGAAAAAGTGCTCTCAGACAGGAAAGAAGTTTTGTGCTGTAGCGAAGCACAGAAAAGGATTTTGAAAAAAATTAGTTCGATTTTATGCATTCCTCATTAAGTCCTTTTCACCCACAAAAAATAAAGGGAAGGTTTACTGGCGATCCCAAACTCGCCGGACCGCTCTTAGGTGGACAGCCACTTAAAAAGTTTGCAGCTGATTTCGTTATAGCTTTAACCGCTGATCACAGTTTTTCGTCAATCAATAATAAAAATTCAAACTTTAATTCGTGCTCTGTACGAAACTCTCGAAGCTGATTTTCTACTTAAGTGTCGGTGTTAATGGCCTAACGCACGTCAGTTTTGATCATTTCCTTAATATAATCTAATCCTTAATATGAAGAGTATGCGACGTATTGTTTTAAAGTCAGTACTGATGTCGAGCTCCCTGCTCAACACTCAAATTGATGTAGCAAATATAAATGAAATGTTACTGTTTGGCATTATTATTAATAATGTCACACTTGTTGAGAATACAGGATGCCAATACGGTCGCAAAAAACTGAAGAGAAACTGCATGGAAGTTTACATTAAACTGTACTTGGCAGCTCGAGGGGTAAGTTCCATCTTTCTCTTTTAAATGGTTTGCTCATCAACAGAAAAAAAATTGAAATAAGTCATGAAAAGGAGATTGTATTATATATTTATTTTATTTTTATTTGTCATTTTTTTAAGACGAAATAGTCACCTTTCTCCATATAGTATCTAATAGTGCTAGAAGACGTCAAGTTAGAAGTAAGCAAAAACGAAGAAATAAAAAGATTATATGCTCATATTTTTTTAAGTTAAAAAAGGCAAAAAGAGAAGAAAACAGGTGTGCGCGTAAGAGGAAACATCATTTATCCATTTCGTCAATTTTTCCGAATGTAGCGTCATCAATAACAAGGCGCATGATGGCAATTAGTACGACTAAAACAGGGGCAATTGGGACGTAAAATTTTGTTTATGCACCACGCGACACTATAAGACAATTTAACAATTTGTAGGCTTCCTTAGCTATCTTAAGACGGATCTTGCAGTTATTGCCAGAACCAAAATTGAGTGGTGTTTATCTTATTATTACTTGGAACGTGGTCAATTGGCAGCTGGTAACAACTGATCAACCTTTTCTTTTCGATTTTTCCGCATTAACTTTAAAAAGATCTTCCACTGAATAAAGCGTCGAAGACTATATAAATATTGGATGAGACCCCGCCCCCTCCCCTCTACACTATCGTACTGCTTAATCGCTAGGACTAAATTCACAAGCCCTAATAGGAAAGATATGCCAACCAAAAGAGTGCAGGGAGACTGAGCTCTGTAACCTTTGGTTAAGCTTGCGCTTGCTTACGGGTTTATTGACATCCGTTAATAATAATAATAATAATGTTTATTTCTTATATTGCGCAGTCTAGCATGCAATAAAGATATGATCGAATGCGCATTACAACACTAAAATCTTAAAGTAATAAATGGCTAACACAAATAATGATAATAATAATAATAATTTACAATTTTCGGAAAACAATAAAAGTAAAATATGAGTTAATAAAAGAACTAATAAAAACCTAATTTAAAAAGATGATCTTTAGTAAAACTTTAAAAATGTTCAATGATTGACATTGTCTAATTTCTAGAGGGAGTCGGTTCCATACTTTGGGCGCAGCATTTTCAAACGCCTTATCCCCGAGTGTCTTTTTTGTTCTATAGGTATTGTCCATTAGGAGTATGCCCTGGTATGATCTCAACTGATACCGCGAGCTCTCTTTGATTTTTATCAAGTGTAAAAGATATTGTGGTGCGACGCCGTAAATACATTTGTGAACTAGCATTGCTATCTTGAATTCTATTCTGTGGGTAACCGGTAGCCAGTGCAGGTTGATCAGGGATGGTGTGATAGGATCATACCTAGATACAGTAGATACCAGCCGAGCTGCCGCGTTCTGCAGGCGTTGCAGCTTACCAAGATAAACAGCGGGCGTACCATATAATAGACCGTTTCAATAGTCTAATCGTGACATTATAATAGCCTGTACAATGGACTTCTATTGTCATATGATAAATACTTTCTAATACGCCGGATGTTATGTAGATGGTAATAAATATCCGGACATATGCTGTTAATATGTGTGGTCATATTCATGTTTGCATCAAACCAAGCACCCAGATTTCTAACAGAGTAGACAGCAGAAACCTTTTCCTCACCTATTTGCAAGTCACTTATTGTAACCTTATTTAACTGTGCGCGTGTACCTATAATAAGAAACTCGGTCTTAGCATCGTTCAGCCGAAGTTTGTCTTGGACCATCCAGGTTCTTATGTCCCTGATGCAAGCCTGTAAAGCGTCAACGGCATCCGTCTCAGTAGCAGAACCATCCGGCTTAAATGAGATATAGAGCTGCGTATCATCAGCGTATGCGTGAACGTTAGGGAGATGGGATTCAACAACATCAAAGAGCTTACTTGCGTACAACGTGAAGAGCAAGGGACCTAGACATGATCCTTGAGGTACCCCTTGAGGCAGATCAAAGTCACTCGAATAGCTCCCGTTAATCAGGATTCGCTGTTTCCTCTTTGATAAATACGAGTGAAACCATTTAAGAGCGGTACCTGTAATTCCATACGTCACGCACAGGCGATTCAACAACACTTGGTGGTCAATCGTGTCGAATGCTGCACTCAGGTCTAGCAACACCAAGAGAGTAACTCGTTGATTGTCCATTGCAGCTAGTATGTCATTCTGTATCTTCAATAGGGCAGTCTCTGTGCTATGACCCAGTCGATAGGCTGACTGGAGGATGGGATACAAGCCCGACTGAGTAACGTGATCGGTTGTCTGATCATAAACTGCCCTTTCAACCAATTTAGAGAGGTATTGGTGTTCTTCAGTCTTGGATCAACAAGGGCCGTTTTCCAATCAGATGGAAAGTGTCCCAAGGAAAGTGAAGAATTCACGACATTAGTGATGATGGGGAGAAGCATATCGGACATGCCGACTACTAAATTGGTCGGCATAGGATCAAGTTGACAGCTTTTCTTCGATGATCTACTGACCAGCTTCCTCATATCTTCCACAGAGTGGAAGATATAATCTTTATAATCTTTTAATCTTTATAATCTTTTAGCCACCACTGAAACACTAGTTTGTTCGCTCACTGCAGTACGTGAATGAAGTTTTTGAATGAGGTCCTCAGATAGAAATTTTCAACAACCAGGAAACCATCTTACGCAAGCTGCAGTGACAGCGATTCAAAAATAGCTTAAAACCGGTCAAAGTGGTTATACTGAGTACAAAATAGGCCATGACGCAGTCCAAAAGACCAGAGATGCCTAATTTACGACGTCATCAGCGATATATAACCCTGCAATGTGTTCAATTTCACAGCAATGAGATTCAGAGATTCAATGAGATTTCTGCGGAATAAGAACCTAATTAGTGACATTAAACTTTACTTTTACAAACGCAAAGTGGCAGTTTGAAAAGTAAACAAAAAGGTTATCAAAAGTCACTCGGGAATTTTTTTTCACACACTTCTTTACTTAAATGTGTTTAAAAATTAAAGGATTCGCATTTCCCTGTGTGTATAGTAGTCAGGTCTCTTAGGGTCAGGATCGTTACAGAGTTGACAAAAGCACCAAACTTTGCACAGCGATAGCTTATTGCAGTACCATGAATATTAGAGGGGGTGCCCAACGCAAATATGCCACTGAAGCGTGCTAAACAGGATTTAATTATTGTAAATTTCACCTGCTGGGGTCCCTGTGGTGTTTTGATTGAAAATTGTTATTTAATACCTTAAATCACTCTGAATTCTATTCTCAGGTGGTAAACAACAATTTCACTCGAACATCTGGCATTCCCATCCATTTTTGGCTTATTGATTGTATAATTAAGTTGATTATTACTGTGCCCTTAAAGCAAGTCCACAGTCCGCCCACATTTTCATAAGTCATTTCTAAGATGGCCTCGTCTTTGCTTCATAACTTGCAAGTACTCAGCTTCTGGGGTCTCTTCTCCTTTTCTAATGCATTTCAATTAGAGGAGGCCTTATTGTGTCGCTTAAGCCTTATTTATCAATTATTACGTGTCATTACATGTCACTTTAAGCTGAAGAAAGCAAACAAAATTTCAGAAAAAAGAAATTGTCAAAGAGTCTGTTGTATCACATATTATCAGGGATTTATGACAGCTATTCATGAAGAGCAAATAATGAAATGACAGAACCCAAAATAGTTCTTTCCTAGGGAGGTAATTAATTTTTCAGCTTAGCATAGGCCTGGATGCCTTTCAGTCTCTCTTTATCCAGTTATCTGCTGGACGCAAGTGCATGTTTTGACAGAGAAGCAAGCACCATGGCACAAGTCATATCATTTACAATTTCCGCAGTTTGTCTAAGCTTTACAAAGCAAAAACAAACCAAAAAGAATCTGGTCTCATAAACGAAAAAAAGAAACAAGTTAGCCCAAGCTTCAAAAAACAGTACAGTTTATCATGAAGCCTCTACATTTGGCACTGAAGCACTCATGTCCAAAAATAATAACAGCTTATCAAGTCGTAAAAGTGAGACTCAAGTGGTACAAGATTGACTCAAATGATAAATGGTGAATAGTTTCACTGCTGAAACTGTAGAAAGGGGACCGGGCTAACTTTTAGGGCCTGTTTACATGGAGGAAGGGGACCCCAGGTAGGAATGGTAACCCACTTAGGTGGGGTAACCCGCCTGTCCATATAATCTCTCATTTTAATTTGATCACGTTTACATGATAGGTGGGGACACCCTTCAAGGTGGGTTGCCCGGTCTGCCACACCAGGTAACCCTCTCAGCTGAGGTCAAATTTTGCCATGTCAACGTTTCAAGGTGAGGAAACCCAGGCTAGTCGGGGTCGGATTCGAGATACATCAAATTCGCACAAAGTTCACTTTGGCGCTGGGTGGCTTCATATAATTATTAAAGGTAACAATAGAAAGCCACAACACTGAAGGTTGCAGCAAGAGCAGCAATTGAGCGTAGACGTGGTTTGCCAGCATTTTTCTTGTTTACATGGTTAGCGACCATTCATATAATCTTGAGAAACTTCACCCCAGGATGGCCGGGTTGTAAGATTGCATGTAAAGGAGGGTTATTTTTTTACCCCACCTAAGCAGGTTACCTCACCTACCTGGCGTCCCCCACCTTTATGTTAACAGGCCCTAAGTCTCAGGAACCGTGAAACTGGTAATAAACGCTATACCTTACCCGGGACTAGCTGTGATACTACCGGCCATCTTCAAGAACGTCAGCATAGCAGCCAAAGAAGCCATTATATCGGTGTAAAACGAATATTAGATTGCAGTTGTTTCATGCGTCTTGTTTTGTGACTTTTTCTGTGTTCGTTTTTGTCACCATCTCTAAATATCAATCATGTTCAAAACACCCCTACTAACAAAATATTTCGTAAAGCTCTTTAGAATGATATTCAGCAATAAAAACAAGGTGTGACCAGGAGCCGATTTCTAGGCTCCTGGTGTGGCAACATAGGCATAAGTGAATGCAAAGTTTTGCAGTATGTAATCTGTCAAAAATCTGTTTGAGTAGTCAAAGTTGGGGCTGATGGGCTTCTTTATCATGACCACTCCATTATTATAAGGGACCAGGCCATAATTATTGTTGACCCTTGCTTTTTTGATATTTTATGTAATTTTCCACAGCATTATTTTGTGAAAAGTTGGTAACTGAATTGCTCTTGAGGAATTCATGATCGTAAGATTTCGTAACCACGGGGTATTCGCCTAATTGCATCAAACAAATTACATTCATTTTCAAAAATGATGCATCATTGGTTGGCTAAAAGAGGCCTTGTTCCCGTAAATTTCAGCTCTTCTGAAGTTAGTTTGTTTGTAAATTGTAACGCACGCGACGACCTTCCTTTTTTTTGAAAGATCGTATAGACCTACCATTAACACTCTGGTCCAAGGGCTTTGAAGTGAATGAGCCGCTTACAGGTGTATAGGCATGCAGGGACCTCATACACTTCTTTTTAAATGCAAATGTGCAAAAAATAAAGAGTGTTAAAAATTCCTGGAGAGGCATGTTTTACAACCTCTTCCCCAGGGCTTAATAAAAAGGTAGAAAAAGGTAAAGCGACCATATTTTACGTCAATAACTCGTGACAGTAATAATAAGTGATAAACTTGAGGTCGACGGTGCGCTCGTTTTACCCCCCTCTCTCCATTAATTCTCCGTTTTAAAGGTATTTAAAGCTAGTCAAAGCTACACAGAAAAAAGAGAAGTTGAAATAAGGAAGTGTTGACACCGGGCTCGAACTCGGGACCTCTCGCCACGAAGGCTGCGCACTAACCAACTGTGCCACCCTTGCTCCTCCTTTCCCCCCTGAGGACGAGGTTGACATGTTTTAATCATTATCTCAAGGACAGGGATACCAACGAAGCAAATTATAATCTTATCTTAGCTGCACAATTACAAAGTGGGCGCTTTGTCAGTTACGGTTCATGAGGTCGTTCATGTGGCATGTCAAACTTTAACGATCTGTCCTTTAGGATGTGATACATTTGAGTTTTATGTTATTGTATGACATCTTTGAAAGCTGGCTTTGTGATCTGTTTAAATTGATATATAATGATATTATCACTGGCAAGTCTTAGCAGTGACACTGATAGCCGCACAGTCCGCACAATGAACATGGCCAAACTTACCGTTTGGAGACTGGGCACATGTCAGTATTATGTACATGTAAAACTATTTTGAATAGTGTAACAACAACTAAACATTACCAAATTAAAAACTTAAAAAGTTGCAACAAATGTTTTTTAGCCAAATCAAACAAGAAGAGTACTCACCACAGGGCACCCAATCTGCTATTATGGGTGAAAGTTAACCCCCCCTTTTATCTGTAATTAGGACCATTTGCAACGGGCACCCCGTCCAGTATTAATCGGTAGGTGCTAAGGAAGCTCTGTGCCAAATTTGACACTTTTGTCACGTCTGTAACGATCCGGCCTATATTTTGCACTAAGAGACCTGACTATAGGAGACATCACGGTTTACCATTACAAACATTGTTTTTGCTATTCAAATTTAAAACGAGTGAAACAAAATAATCTTT